ACCATACATCTGTAAACAGATATGGACTATTCGCGATGATACTGAGAGTATTTATCATATCAGTTTGCTTTTAACATCCGCGCATAAAAAGTGTTGCTTCAGCTAATTTCATAAATTACTCGCATCCTTCCACTGCAGAGCACAATGACGCAAGTAGATTCAAATTCACATTATTTTCCATTGCGTGTTAGCTGAGGTACTTAAACGGCCTCAGGACCAAAGCGAATGAGCTCAATTTAGGATCGAAGCTCATGTTTTCATTATGCAAACGAGCACGGGTAATAATTTAAAAATTTCCACACCCAAACGAACATTTAAATGAGCAGTTGGCAAATTGGGTGGGTATCAAATCAAATCAAATCAGATCCTTTGATAGTAGCGAGCACTAATAATCTACTGGGAGTTGCTATTGTGCATTGAGAATCATTTGAACTGTTAAAATAAAAAAATTCAAAATTAAATGATGTGGCAAATTCAAATTTTTCATAAATTCTAAACAAAATATTTCAAAATAATTCGCACAACTAACGTACAAAGCGACACAAATGTGCATAAATTAAGTGCAACGAATGGTGTGCCTGGTGTCATGGAGAATGTCCTTCAGAGGTGTCTTTGGTGCAAATATTAACGAATTTGTTTATTTTAAATTTGTCAAAGGATACTTAAAACACTATTTTTACAATGGTTTCTGTATTGTTGCATTTCTTGTCTGAGCTAAAAAATATATTTGATTTATATTTTCTTGTATTTTTTTTTGTTTTGTGCGATAGTTTAATGCAATCACACCCTTTTTGAGCAAAAAGGATGTTTTAATGTGATTTTATGTGCTTCGGGAATTTAATCCTTTTTCATTGCCAACACAGATGTTTGCTTGAGTGACAACTGAAGTGTTTGCCTACTGTCAATCTGTTTGTTTGTTTGTTCGCTGTAATTGTTGAGGCTTTCTTATCGATTTCATGGATTAGAAAAGTCATCCACATCTTGGCTTGAATCAATTAGAAATAATATACTCCTGATTGAATTTTTTAAAATACCATTTCGGTTGTTTACATTTACAAATACTACATTGCAATAACGTGAAAAAAAACCACAAATTGAATAATATTTATATACAATGCAAGTTTGGTTTAAAAGTATGAAAAACACATTTTTTTACACAAATTTTGCCAAAAAACCAAAATCCAATAGATGTTTTTTTCCCGCTTCACCAGAGATCTCAGTCTACAGTGCTATAATACCCGTTCACGTTCATTCTTCAGCACTTACACACTTTATTTAAAATTTCAGTGATATGTTTTCTCACGTAAAATTAAGTTATATACAAAATATTAAAGGGGTGGAGAGTGTGAGCATACATGCCAAATTGATTTTAGTCACTGTTCTCTATATGTTGACACATAGCTTTCATATGGAACCCGCTACAGTTATCCGTTCGAAGTGGATTAATATGTCTAGCGCAATAATTCTCAAGGAGTTATGAGATTATGCGTAGAGCTTGGAATGAAAACGAAGAAGAAACCCGCTACTCGACGCATCCATGGTTTACTTCCCACCTAATACCTGACAATAACAAAAGAAATATTTAAGAATAAAGGATAAGTAGAAAGAATAAGAATAAAAGATAAAAAGTCTATTTTTCAGAAATGTGTGTGATAAATTTTTTTAAGCCTTTCTTACTGCTTCCTCTTTTGTGTAACTGTCTCATTGCTTGTTACTACACACTCGGATATGAAATTTTTTGTTAAGAATTGTATGGCTGTAAGCCAAGTTTCTTGGTTTATAAGCTTTCATTGTGCGATGCCTTCTTCTTGACGGACATAGATATCTGCAAAGAATCTATGTAGTTGTTTTCTTTTCTTCTTTGTCACTTCTGCCATTTTCACAGATATCCAACATTTTGGCATAGATGTCTATTAGCCAATGATCTATATGCTTCATCGACAGTTTCGGCATTTTGTTCCTAAATCTGCTTGGAAAGATTTTCATAATTGATAAGTAATAGCTTGGCCATATTGGATTTTCTTTATATTGTAGGTTTTTGCTTAAGTTCTGCAAATCATAAGAAATAATATTTATTTTTAATATTATATTTTAAGCACCTCTTAAGTGGCATCAATGATCTCTTTGTTACGCATGCTTCTGATATTAGTATAGCTAATTTATTCAAAATTTAAATTTCTCGTATTTTCCGGTGGCTTGAAACTTATATCAATAATTTTGTTAATTCGTTATTTATTGATATCAGTTGAGATTTGCGTGGTTAACTTAGTTAGTTTTGCTTAGTACTAATGTTAGACATCACGGAAATAGTGACTCTATTGTAGGAGAAGATCTAAATCTATTGATTGCATAAATCGTTTTCTGAACTTAGTCGATCTGCCTCATTGATTTCTGTTCATTAATTAATTTCTGTTATTTATTCTATAGAAAATCACTTGGTTTTTATAATCATATAGTTTTAATTAAAGGCTTTAAGTAAAAGATTTGAATTTTTATTTAAAATCACAAAAAAATCTACATATACTAAAATAATTTAGTATTCAAATACTAAAGTTCTTCGGACTGTGTCCACAGTATCCACACTCCTATTTTTATTTTTAATTTTGCTGCGCTTTAGCTTCAAAGTTTTCGAAACAAATTTTTTTACTGTTTCGGGAATATAAATTGAAGTTTTATCAGTGCATGTGTCAAATCTCGTTTAAATTAATGAGTTTCATCATTGTTTTGCGAGTTGCGATAGTTTTCAAAATTTATGACTTTGAAATTGGAAAAACCACTAAAAAATTGCAATTTTTTAGACGCATTTTTTCGAACAAAAATAACTGAAAAGCATACACGAGTGCAAACAATATGAGTCCACTAATGTTTCAAATAGTGTTGAGGCTTCATAGCTAATAATTTATTAAATGATTAAATAATTAATTAAAATAAGTTTATTTAGTTCAAAAGAAAATTAACATACACAAATGACTATAAGTCATTACTCTATATATTTTACTTGATTCTACTATAAATATATAGTTTTTTATCTATGTGGTTAACTATTTTCTGGTTGTTTATGTAAACTTAAATAAAATCCCTGAGATTTTGGTCAACTCAGGTGTGAAGTACATCACTCAAGTGTTTTCCATGGAATATCATGCTGGATGTTTTTGAGGTGATTTTGGTGATTTGTTGACATGTAATTGGCAATAGCTCAGCCATTACTAGACGTGTAGTTCTAATGAAAGCGTCAAGAATGTTTAAGGACTATCCACACAAGAAAAATTTTTCACCTCACCCAAATCCAAATTCACATGTTTACGAAATATCTTGACCAACGAAACTAAAAGAAGATATATTTTATGGCTTGTTTGCTGTAACAAATTGCTGAAACAACATATTGTCTATATCTATACTTTCAGATAAAAAAAGAATAAATTGCCATTTGGCTGTAGTAATAAAATTTATTTGTGTTTGTTATATAGAAGTATGAACTATCAGAATTCCAGATCAAATGTCATACTAAAAAGTTAGATTTTGTGGACGTAATAGTCTTTCGGCAGTTACTTGTAGACTATCACTGAATCAGTCAATTTGGTATTAATAGAATTAATATCCAGCACTTATTCTCATAGACATATTTGGGGTTATTTTATTCATTACAAATAATATAATACAAATACATATTATATTATAGAGATATGAATATACTTAAATAAAATTTAATTTTTGAAAATCATAATTGAAATAAGATAATATGAGCAGGAAAATCAAGAGAATGTTGTAACATTTAGGGACAGAGTAAAGAGTAATCGTCATCTTAGTACGATCTTAGTATCATCTGATATATAATAATAAGGCATTAATATAATAATATATGATTAAAGTTTGGTATTCATATGAAAGCCTTTAATAAAAATATATGAGTTATGAATTCAATCAAATTCTTAACCACTTTCAAATCCTTGTAAAGCGGCATTGAGTTATAAGCCGGGTGTTCAGATGACATTACTGTTTAATTGTTTGATAAAATGTGCTCTTAATTGGAATACTCTTGAAGGCATACATTTATTTAAAACTTAATACCTCCTATTTGAAAGATGTTGTTGTAAGTTATTCTACGGTTACCATTAATTACTATTATTAAAGATACCATTAATTACTATAAAAACCACTTTTCAATCATTTATTCAAATCTTAAGATATTCGTCAAGTAAAAACCTTTCTACCGAATTCTAATATTTGTCCAAGGATTTCATAATTTCAAGACTTTATTACTAGAGATAACCAGAAAACTGAAATGTAAATATTAGTTAAGGTAATTTCATTGTGATTGTGCATTTAACCAAAGTCCAGTGCAGTAATAATTTAATTTAACTGCTATTTCATAGATGAAGCTTATCATTAAGGGAGTATGGCCTTTAATAATATTTAGTATTAAGAGTGTATTGAAATAAACTGTACAGTACTAAAACTTAGTGTACTGTTTTATATTTTTGCTAAAAAAAACACAATGTGAACAAAATCCTTTTAGTGTTATGTTTTCTACATCGAAGTTAAAACACTATATTTTTGAAAGATCTTCTAACGAGAACACTAAAAATTTTATGTGAGATGTTAGTAGCAGTACACTTTTATAATATTCCGGACATCTCTCTTGAATTTTTAGGGTACTATTTGATATATTTCTGACACGAGCAGTGCATTAAGATAATAAAATATTCATTCATCACTGGTATTCATTCATCATTCACTGGTAATTAGTAGTTATAAGACTACTCTAATATTGATCGCCACATGGTTATGCTTCTACTGAATAGCGATCATATTTTTTATATATTATCAAATGCAAATATATCAAGTTATGGAAGCTAGATAAGGTGATTCTTATTCTTTACAAAATATTTGGTTCAGTTTTATTTAATTTAATTATTAGATGAAGTTTTCTCAGAATTGTTGTTTTATGTAAGAAATTCTAAAACACTACATATTGCTTCTTGATTGTTTCCTTTTATTAACTGTTGGTAACAATTTGTGTAATTTAGTTACAAATAATTTTAATAAAAATTGCAGTACAAAATATGTATTTATATAAAAGTTTTAATGTACATGTATACGGATACACGTAGTTGATTAAATATCACCATCCGTTACTGCTAAATTATATAAACCTTCAACATGATTAATGACTAATGGATCACCGATTTTTGCAGTAACTGACAATTCAGTGCATCCATTTTGTTCTAAAATATTTTTAAATGATTCACATTTATAATATGGTCCAAGTAGTTTACCAACGATTGCTGCTGCATAAAATCTTGGTGCGCCTTCATGGGAGCAATAATCTCTGACAACTACAATACCACCATCGCAACCTGGTAGTTCTCTACCATAGTTAGCATAAAATGATACATCGCCAACAGGCAGCAGTGTTCCTCTAATGGTTGAAACGTGTAAAGTTTCAACGTAATTGGCATCAGTTTTTTCCAAATGAGTTCCGGGTACTGCATAATCATAACCAATGCTTGCAGGATCCAGTCCAACAATACCAGCTATTTTTCCACGTTTCACGAACTTTCCAACAAATCCTGACACATGCGCGCCTAAACTATGTCCAATAATTACGGATTCATTAAAATTAAGTTCGAATAATTCATTTAAGTCGTCTACGAATTTTGCAACTTCCTCTCCTATTTTTGGTACTAATTGAACTGCTTTAGGATAAGTGGTGTTTGAGAAATACGTCCAATCAACTTCAATAAAGTTATAGTCTCCTAAAGATAAATACGCATCTCGTACTACATAAGTATTTCTCTTATCAAAATTTGGGATATAACCATGTATCAAAATTCTGAAAGAAAGTATATCATCATCATTAATAATACACAAAAATATATATAATTTTTTAAGGAAGAATGAAATTAACTTACTTTGTCTGGAGTCTTGTATTGTAGTTGGACTCTCTAATGGAAAAATAATCACATAGTCTTAAAATTTGAGGATCTTCTGGATTCTTATTGGTATACAGTTTGAATAGTATATGCTGTATGAACTCCGATTCAGGGATCAAAGCAGATGCTAATTAAAAAAGTTCAAAGTTTAGCTTGTAAAAAAATATATTTTTTAAATTTTCTTACCTAATAACGCAAATTGTATGCAAATATAAACTCCGAATAGATTCATGGTAAAATATTTTTATTGTTTCAAAGAACAAACTGGGTACTATTTATATGAAAACTTTTAAGTGCTTTACTCTAATCAGTTGGTAATTAGTTAATATTTACATACTCATTATTATTAAAATATGCACTAATGAAGATGATTTATATGTATTAACTAAATAATTGTCTTATATTGATAATTATAATGACTTTAGTACATTCGTAATGGTATATTTTATCAGTAGAAAGGAAGGTTCTGTCAAAAAGTTAATTTGATTTAAATTAATTACATTTAAAGTATTTAAGAATAGCTGTAAGAGTTAAGAATAGAGTTAACGATTTTTTGAAATTAGTAATAATTTTAAATTTTTTTGATGTGAGCTTTATGTGAATTTTGAGTAATGGAAATGTAATGAGTTTAGAATTCCATCACTCAATTAACAATAATATTAGTTCTTTATCAAACAACCAAGTATTAACTCATTATTTCATATAATATTCTAGCTATAACACATTGCTTAATCGATTAGGTATTTATTTTAAGGTTAAGTTAGATTGATAGGATGTGTGCTATTATAATTGTCAATTCTTCCACTTAGAGACGTTTATTGACCATTGTGAAGCCCTCAAAGTTACCTGGGTGAGGCGAGTTGCACTAAGTGTTGTTATCTCTTCCTGTTGTCTTTGGTTAACAATTTACTCTTTTAATTAAAGCTAATAACCATAAAAGGAACAGTATTTAAGACATTGAAGCCATTCCGCATTCTGTCAGGGAGTCGGTATGAAGTCTAATTTGTATATCTCCCGAGTAGAATATGCTCCTGTTCTACTACTCATTTTTGTGACAGGTAACTCAGAGTAATCAGTCACAGAATGCAACCACCACATTCTTTTGTAGAGAAGGGTGTAGGAATTAAGTTTGGAAGTCTAGATTTAGTCAGTAGCATATTACAAATCAGCCTTGAAATAACGTTGACCTCTACATTTATTTGGTTACGTATTTGGTTGCTTTCCATTTCCTAGTTTTTATAAAAGTTTATTGTTACAATGCTTTTATACAATATTTAATTTGAGTAGGTTCAACTTTTATGATCTAAATGAAGTTCATTAATCTTTTTATTTATTAAGTATCGCTTAATAATTATTTATATATAAATGAAAACTTTTTTTACGTGTTTTATATATGTATATAAAAATAATGTCTGTCTATGGCTATTTGTATTCATAGAATCTATGTATCAGATTATCAGCTTACGCTTTTTTAATTTCAAAAAATGTTTCTCTAATTCAGATATAATAGTATAATTACCAATAATAGTACTTGATTATTATGTCCTTTAATCTATTATAAATGAATGACAAGTTTTTAATAAATTAAGCGATATCGGTCTCTTTATCAATGCATATGTCAGTAAATATTTCTATATTTTTGTTGCTAAGCTAGTCCTCAATTTTCGACCTAATTAAATGACAGTTTACATAGCTTTTAAGTAGATGTAAGACTGAAGCTTCGATATCACCATTAATACGAAATAATGGTTATGATTGAGTTCTTGAATAACATATTATTATATATACTTTTGATATAAGAATATTGTTTAGAGATATTGTTAGGGAATGGTTCTGTGCAAAGTAAAATCAATGTAGGCATAATTTTAAACATCTTTGGCAAATAAATATTAGCTGGATCGAAGTTTTCTTTCTCGATTCTATTATTTAAATATATGTAGATATATTTTAAAATGCTTGTAAAATACAAAAAATTCATTGGTAAGAGTTACTTAAGAATATATTTGATCAGTAGGAAACTTAATTTAATACGTTTATATAACTGAACGATGATTGGCCATACTCGATACATAAATTTTGGAAATCTATAAGAAAAAATATTAACTCAAATTTCTTATACATATATAAGTGTATTATCAAATAGTATTTACGTTTGCAATGTTGGCTATGTAAAATTTTTGAAGAGAGTTAACCAAGGTATACTTTAAAATGTAGAAATTTCATATTTGCCATCATTGTTGCAAAGGAGTTCTGCTTCAACAGCTTCATCCAAAACAATTTGTACTTGCTCCTCAATATTGTCCTCAGCAACCTTATATATCACAGATATTTGTAAGATTTCAAAGTTATATAGTTATTTACTTTTTACTTACCCCAAACCTAACCGCAACAAACTCGGTTATTTCATCTGCATCAAGAGGTTCAGGTATGGCATTTAGAACGTCTATTATAACTTTACGAATTTTTTGTTTGAATGATAGATGCAAACTCATTTTGTAATTTATTTTCACAAAATTTTCGTTCAGTTAAATTTATAACTAACGTTTAAAAAAATTAAAAATACAAGAGTTTTTCATACAAAAATTTTATATTTTCGACTTGCTGTGATAAAAAAATAAAACAAACTAATGTTGCCAAGTTTTGACAACTCTTACCCATATTACCCATATGAAATTATTATTAATTTTAATCATTATTAATTTTATTATAAATTATTATTATTAATTTTTCGTGAGCCAAGATTGTCTGTGTCTCGTCACTTCGACAAAACGGTGTTGTTCTGTAATAAATGTTAACATTTGTGTCTTTTAGTAGCAAATGATTACAATTTGTGTGACACTCTCTATAATATGCCATTCGTCATAACCCAAAAGGGCCAATTTTGACGAGCCCATGACACTCTGCATGGCCCTTAATACGCTAAAAATTGAGACATTTTTGAGAAATTACTCATAAGTGGATTTATGTGCCTTATTACACAACAGTGTTGTTAAGGAATAATGTAAGAATCTACGGCTATTATGAGTGAATGTGTGTATTTTTATATGAATATAGTATATGCATATTCACATAAATAAAAAATATCTCTTAAATTCAAGAACAAGAAAACATACGAAAATGGTAGTAAAAGTAGAATATTGATAAAAGTGATATAACTCTCGATCTATCGTAACTTAAAGTCATGACTAAAAACAGCGCAAAATTGCGGTGAGTATTCGTCATTTGACTATCTGTAGAACATGGCCTTAAGAAAATTATATATTGTGTTGTTTTTGATCAATATTAAATACAAATATTTTGTTCACTTGGTTTTCATTATCATAATCGAAAAAAATTCTCAGTTTCGAGCCCAGTTAACATATCCGCGAGAAAGTTCTAGTGCGTAAGAACTGAGTGCCAGGGACACCCATCCAATCAACAGGAGATCGTCATTACAGTTTCATAAGCGAATTTCGGAGACACCGACAAGTTTTGAATTCAATATAACTCCAGTAGCAGTATCTGCAGTAGAACAACCGAAGAGCAAGACAACCAAGCAACTGCAGGCCATTCATCAAACGAAGACATCCTACGAGATGGTCAAGCAGAATGGTGAGTGGAAAAAGATAAGAGATGAAACAAAAAATCGAACCACACCGGCAAAAGCAACCGTCGAAAAAGTTGCAGGACTATTTGATGGGGGATGAACTGTGATATCTTGGATCATGGCAACACTGCATGCATGTGAAAATGATAAAAAGGAAAATTCGCATTTCGGTAGTTGTGATCATGATGAGTAAGAGTGCCACGCAGAGTAAATATAAATACATAATATTAATTGTAACGTTATAACTATTATATCAATAAAGAACTTAAAAACTTAATCTTAAAAAATTTCATAGTTTAGACATCTATATGACTCAATTATTTTTGCTCTAAATTTCAGTGTTAGAACTTAATCTACATTTGAATATAATACATTGTAAATAACAATATTAATATAATAAAAGGATTCATTGATATAAAGAGATATAATGATTTTCTATGGTGTTTATATATAGTAGTTTTTATATATACAATATTAAGCTATTTATTTCAATACTTTAATATGAACATATAATGTATGTTATAAATTAAAATAATATACTTATTGAATAAGGGAATATAATTTTAATTAATTTTAAAGAAAGTTCTTAGATATTAATAAAGGTATATTAAAAGGATAAACAATTTGATTAATAACAGCGAAAGTAAAAAATCAAGATGACTGTTAGTTCGATATTTTTCTTAAGCATACTTAATAATCCTTCGATATCATTCTTAGTTCATACAGATTTAAATTCTGGGTATTATAATAAATAAAAACAATCTAATTCCATGGAGCATATCATCTTTAAATATACATATTTATTAACAGATGCCAATAAGACATAAAATTAACATAAAATTTTTATTGTAAAAAACACTAAACCAATGTACAGAAAAAGGAATTTTAACCTCCAATTTTCTAAACAACCAAATCTAATGCTCTGTTGAATCAGTCTGGTTATTTTCGCTAGAAGTTGTTTCAGCTGATGAAATAGTCTGATTTTCATCATCACATGAAGATCCCAAATAATATTCAGTTGAAACGGTAGAATCAGTTTCACTACTGACTGCACCTCCTGTCTCTGCATAATACCTTTCACATTCTTGCAATTCTTGTCTTAAATATGCGTTACGTCTATTCATCCGCTCAGTGAACACATCATTGGCACCATCCTTCTTAGTGCGCTTTTTCGGGGTGTCCGTGTTAGTTATAAACTTAATAAAATGTGCACGGTCGAGCAACTTTTCGTTTTCCTCTGCTTCAAGCTTAAACCAGTCATGCTCAGGAGTATCATCCCCCCCACTTTCATAATCAATAGATTCGCCGTCACTGCCATAATGATCAGTAATGTTACTTTGTACTAAGTTTCTGTATTGGTTTAGTTGAGCTCGCTAAAATATTTTATGAAAAATTATAAAATATTCATATTGAAACAATATTGAAATAAAATAACTTACGGCTGAAGTCAAGAGAGAGAAACCATCCAAATTTTCATTAGATCCATTACGACCATTACGACCAGAACGATCAGTACGACCAGTATGATTAGTACGACCAGTACGTGGGAAAGGCATTTTACAATCTTATACGGTCCTAAAACAAATTAATGAAAGAAAAACGCAATAGGTGCTCAATCAGCACTAATCGTCTGAAAGATTTCTAGGACAGGTACTTAACTGTAAATATTTAATATTAATTATTTAATTCTTTTCTTTTTTGAAAATAAATGTTATTTACACGCAAGTCAAGTCTACTGTAAAACAATTATAATGAAGTTTTACTCTTGACGTTTATTTTTACAACAAAATTTGGAACTGATTGTAGAGAAAATATTTTTTAAATGTTTTGAAATACACAAATAATTTTTAAGTTAATTTAAATAATTGATGACATTCTATGTTTTTTTAACTGCTTTTAACTGCTTTTTAAATGAAACTAGTACAAGTGTAAGAGAAAAATAGTCTAATAGATAGAAGATTGATAATCATACGAAAACAGTTATCATTGCATTCCACAGAGAAAACCTCATTACTTGCTCTTTTGGATCCTTTATAGTGACTTAGTGTGATATTCTAGCGTTCTTCTGGAAGGGGGTCAAATTTTGAAAAATCACGTTAGTATTTTGTTAGTAAATAAAATCTATTAGTTAGTAATTTAAAATTAACATTTTAGTTTTAAGAACAATATTTTAAATATATTATATTAAAATTAAAACATCTAACGTTATATTATTATTACATATATATATATATTAAATATTTTAAATATACACAACTATTTTTTTAAATCAAAAATTAAAAAAAAATATTTATGTGTAGATAGATAGATTCGTAGATTTGGTTGATAAATGAAATAGAAGTATAAACTAATCGTTAACAGTTTTTAATAGTAGTGCGGGATGTATATATTTTTTTCTCTTCTTCTTCTATTTATATATTCTTTCAACATAGTATAAGTGATCAATTGTAAAGTCAACTTAAATCTACACAATATTTGAAACGGTGTTTGAACTATCCATACTATTATGAGCTACTTCTACAAGTACATTCCAATCGCTCTTTTACCAGTTCAAACTCGAACCGAAGACATTTGTTTTCTTCCTCAATAGATATTTTCTTTAATTTTGTCCTGAATATTATTATTTTTTTCTAGTTTTGCTGTTAAATATCAGATTTCAGTGATATCAGTAAAATGCTCTGGTATGTACAGTTGATATTTTTTGATTGTGAACAGATGTTAAAAACTTAAATATTTAAGAAACTTAAAACTTTAAATTTAAATAAAAAAATTTGTGTTAAATAAATAAATAAATAAATAATTTAATTCTTATAGAGAGTGTATAACTATTTCATAAAAATTTAGATGTATTTTTTTAGCTATTCCCATTCAGTCTTTTGTAAAATAATGAATTAATGGCATATCTAATTTCTTCAATAATTTTCTCTACAAGTTTTTTCTGATACTTCCTTATTACCAATAATTCTTCGGCATCAAGATTGTATATCTATTGAGAAATTGTTTTTTTTTTTATAAGCAGCCAAAGCTTTTATAAAGTTATTAGTTTGCGTAATTCGGTTTTTATTAGCGTCTTTTTTTTAACAACTTATGTCCTTTAATAAGTTCATTTCAATTGATTAAACTGATTATCGAATCTTATAAAATCTTCTGGATACTGGTTTTTACTCGTTAATACTGTTTTCAACTATTGGTGATACTAGCAGTGAGGAATTGTTTCCGTCAAGGCTTCCAAAATTTCCGAAACATTTGGGTTCTAATTTTAACGCAAGGTTATACCACTTTCGTAAAGACATCTTTAAGTTGCACCAATGATTAACTATATTACAAAACTTTAGCTGTGCTATTTTAACTGTTTCTCATCATCTTTTTGTAAAACAGTTGGTCACTAGTGTTTGTATCTTCTTCGAAGAAACATGTTGTCTACGAGTTTCTCCCATTTTTCACATTATCGAATGATAATAATTTGATTAGTCTATAGACTATTATATATCAAGTTTTTTCATTTTTCCTTTTTAGAATAATAGATATTGACACAATTGAACCACGTAATAATTTAATGACTTCAACTTAGATCTGGATGCTAATAATAGATATATAGCATTGATCTATTAACATCATTTAGTATTAAAGTAATGAATATTGCCATACCAGTGAAATAATATATCCTCAAAAAAAAAAAAAATTCAAACATATGGTAATTGAATCTAACTTTAAGTCCTCTGGGTTAATATTTTTTTGCTGTCTTATTTTTAGATTGCATATAAAAATAGAAAATAAAAATAATTTTCTTTTGCCATAATTTCCATGTTAAAAATTTTCTCTTTATATATTCGCACATAGATTTTTTGCATTCCACTGAAATAATTTTAACAAAATTGGAAAGATCGCTTAAGGCAATTAAAAATTATCAAACAAAAGTTTTGAACTTTATGAGCTGTTGAAGTGTGTGCTTGTAGATAAATTCTTCCGCATCGATATCAAAATTTCCGACTGATGACAGGCCATAACTGAAAAGTAAGGATGCGATTGGGGTAGCACTTGTGGCACATTTGCCATAAAATTCACAGAATTGAAGTGTGAAATGAGGAGTTAAGTAGACATAAATACCACATCCATGACAGAGCATTAGCCCGGCATTTAAGCAAGAGCATACATCAATACGCAGGCTTCACGACTTCATATACACATGAGGCATAAATACAGAGATTCACTTTTCAAACTTTTACAGATGCGTCC